GCGTTCAAGCCTCACAACCGAGAGAGAGAGAGAGAGAGAGAGACAGAGAGGAGAGAGGAGAGAGAAAAGAGAGAGCAAGCACACAAAATCTGGGCATGACCTTGACCAACACCCTCCCCACCCCACCCCTGCTGCTGGGGCTGGGTAAGGTTAGGTCACTAGTTGGAGAAGTGAGTCCAGGTCCATCTGTCACCTTTTCCTTGGCGGTCTCCATGTCTCTTGAGGCACTGCTGACAACTGAAAGTTTTCAGAACCAACTGGAAGGTAATCTCAAGTTCCTTGGGGTCTGTGCCTTGGGGTCTTCCTGACCCTCAGGAAGAGCATGGCCTAGGGGGCTGCACATCTAATATATCATCACACTTGATCTGATTTTTCATTGGCAGAATTGTATATTGCTATTTTCTTCCCATATTCACCTCTGTTTACACTTTCTTGTCTCCACTGTAGATTAACTCTCTGCTCAATTTTTACATTTCATCAATACACGTTTCTCCCATCTTCTTCTCAGTCATTAATAAAGATGTTAAATAATTCTGAACCAAATAGTCACCCCTGTAGGGCCCTACAGGACACTTTCTTTTAATTAGTTGTGCTACCTTTCATCTCTCTCCTGTCCTTTGGTTTCAGATTTCCAGCTGGTTTTGAATCCATGTGACTTTTTATCTAGTCCTGTTTGAACTAATTTCATGAGTGAAAATCTAAGAGATGTTTTACCAAGTGTTGATTCAGGTCCAGGCCTACAGAGAGCTCTGTTCAGATTCTTTTTTAGAACAGATTAATAAAGTAGAATCTAGTCTTAATAAACCAAGTATTCCTAATGTACTTCTTTCCAATAGTCTTTTCAATCATCATGGCGTTTTTTCCCCTTCATTTATATCATGGTAATTTGAATTGTGTTGATGTCAGATTTTACAAAATTCACTCTTGCTGCCAGGAGTAATCCTCTCAGACCTTTCCAGAGATAATTCTTCTCAAAGATAGTAAAGGATGTGCTATTTCTCATATCTTATAATGACTTAGTTTTTTTTTTTTTTGGTCTGGTCATTGGGCCTGAACTCTGGGCCTGGGCACTGTCCCTCAGCTCTTCAGCTCAAGGCTAGCGCTCTACCACTTGAGCCACAGCACCTCTTCCGGCTTTTTGCTTATGTGGTGCTGAGGAATCGAACCCAGGGCCTCATGCATGCAAGGCAAGCACTCTACCACTGAGCCACCTTCCCAGCCCCATGACTTAGTTTTTGAAACAACAAGAAGGTATCTAATTAACCAGTTTCCAAAATGCTTTTTATATAAAATATGCAGTGAGTTAAACTCAGGAGAGACCAGAGTTCATAATAGTTTATTAAATCATTTAAAATTGTACCTCTACTTAAAAATAACAATTGCCTTTAAAATGTAACCTACAGGAAGTGAGCTACTCTGAGGTTGACTGCTGGACACCACAGGACTTTGGTGGTTACCTTCAATGGCATTGAGGGAGCTCTAAAAAATCCTCTTTGTATGGAGCTCACTCAGGGTTTTAAATTAGCCCTTCTATGTGTAATCTTGATTTAGCCACTTCACATTAGACTTGAATTCACTTTCTGGTGAAAACATACCAGTGTAGCAAGCCTGTTATCTTAGCCCTTAGAGACCTGAGGTCTGAAGAGTCTGAGTTTGAGGCCAGGTATAAAAAGACCCTATATCAAAAATAGATATAGGGCTGAGAATGTGGCTTGGTGGTAGAGTGCACGCCTAGCATGCAAGAAGCCCTGGGTTCGATTCCTCAGTACCACATAAGTAGAAAAAAAAAGCTCAAAGTGGAGCTGTGGCTCAAGTGGTCAGGGAGCTAGCCTTGAGCAAAAGAAGTTCAAGGACAGTGCTCAGGCCATAAGTTCAAGCCCCAGGACTGGCCAAAAAACAAAAGCAAATGCAAAAACAAAAGCATGTGTACACACACACACACACACACACACACACACACACACAAAATAAAATACAAAAACAGATTCAATAAACTGAGCATATAAAACATTTGTGGAGCAATCCTACATTATGTATTTCTGAAAAGTGTTGGCAATCATAAAGTGCAGCCACATATAGTTGCATATTTTTCAAACATCTTGTACACCTGCACTATGTATCTGGGGGACCCTCTTGATAACTCTGAGCCTACTCATTAAGATGAGGAGGAGTTCTCCAGCAAACAAAGGACAGCTAATCTGACCCTCAGACAGTACACAGCAGCATCTGCTCTCCGTGGTATGCCAGGGCTGGATTCCATCCTAGACAACAGTGGAAACTTCTCTAAACAATAAGGTTTCAAATGAAATCCTTCTGAAGTGGCAAAGCTGTCTCTACTCAAGGGGAAATAAAAAGTTAATAAGACAACGTGGCAGGTCCTCAGATAGCGTTGGTAGAGCCATTTAAGGAGCAAAATAAAACTCCTTAAAAATCATTTTTCCCCATTAGTTCTAAGGCTTTCTTTCTCCTCTACAGAGAGCACGAAAGTAGCATGTACTTGACATGTTTGCAGTTTCTGCTTCAGCAGACATCCTCAGTATAGATATAAGGAGGCCAGAGGATTGTCTAGAAAGGAAGCAAATCTGAGCCTCCTCATTGATTAGGAATTAAATATAATCTGCATTAAAGTCTACTCTTAAAAACATGCTGGGTGTGGTGCTGCATGCCTGTAATCCTGGCAACACTCAGAAGGCTCGGATCTGAAGATTGTAGTTAGAAAGCCAGCCCAGGCAGAAAAGTCTGTGCGTCTCTTATTCTAATTAACCACCTAAAAAATTCTACAAGTGGAAGCATGGCTCAAATGTAGACAATAAGCCATGAGTGAAAAAGCCAAGTGAGAGCATGAGGCTGCGTTCAAGCCCCACAACTGTCATACACACAAATAATCCTGTCTTGCTTCTCTAAGAAAACTGGTTCTTCTGGAACAGGGTTCGCTAATTATTTCTATGAAGAACCCAGAGTCCATAATTTAGACTTTGCAGTTCTGATGGTCTTTGTTGACCATCTACCCTAACACTAGAATAGGAAAGCAGCCAGAGACTATGCAAATAAGTGTTTATGAAATTTAAATTTTATATGCTTTCATATACCATTTTTTCATAGGCCAAACAACAAAAAAAAACAAACCAACCAAGATAAGTAGAAGACAGAATTTAGACCACCGGTTCCCGTTTACCAACCCCTTGCCTAGTGCATTGATAGGTCATGTGCTCCTCACCACCAGATTCGCTGTCCTAAAGATCCTGTAGGTGCTCAATAAATACTCACTCACTTAGCTGTGACCATGCAAAAGCACAGAGGGAGCTTTGGCTATACAACACACACACACACACACACACACACACACACACACACACACTTGACATTTGCAAGGGATTTATCTTGAAGTTGCTGCTAATCCCCCCATTCCAAGTACCACTCTAGCAGATAATTTCCCCCATAAAATGCAGTCAAGTATAACAGAATAATTAAAGTGACCCTTTTAGGCCCTTAGTGATTCAATAAATACAGGGCTAAAGTCTTTTACAAAGTGATTAAAATAAATTCTGCCACCAAAATCAATTCCCTGTCACGTTACATCATCAATGAGGAATTTACCACCAACTCCAAAGCCAATCCATAGTGATAATGAATGATGGTACCCCATCTCCACATAGCACCTGTGTAAGCCAAGGAGGGAAAGGGCGGACAATGGTTCCAGTGGAATGGCAGGCCCGGCAGCCCAGCAAGGTCATCCTGATAAGCATTAGACATGTAATGCAGCAGAGCTGGCTCAGTCACCTCAAGGAGCAGATGTTGGGCAGATGCTGGACATCACAAAATCTTTCCTAGAGACTTAATGTCTTCCTGCTGTGCTTTATCTTCTCAATGGTTGCCCTCAGAATTTATGGCTTAATCAAATGCCACATGCATCTTTGGACCTCAGGGTCATTTTCTAATACCAAGAGTGTGCATACGAAGGTCATGCATGCCAAGAGCTGCAGTCTTAGAATCTTGCATCCTATTTTGGCTGCCATGCTGTGGAACACAGACTGTCTGGGAATGGTCTACACAAGAATGGTCATTGTGCTAATAAACTGAATCGTTGAATTGAAGCCCCTCTGTACAGCTGCTTAAGAGAAAAGACAATAAATTGACAGAAATGAAAGATAGTAGCATTTATAGGAGGTTAGTGAAAGGCATTCCAGATTGATTTGTCTTGAAAAGGAAGAAAACTTCTTGCTATCAAATAGACACTGTTGGTATTTGAGAATGGAGAAGTTAAGTGGCCTTTGCCTATGTGATCAGAAGCTAGATAACTGATGACTCCAATGCACTTACCGTTGCCTGAGAAAGCAACTGGGTAGCAAGGAGGAAAGCTGGTACCTACACAGCATGGAGAAGACAAAGCTGGCAACAAGAATCCAGGTATCTAATTGTTTGATACTGGGAAACAGAGCTGGTGGATTTCTTGAGGGCTTAAAAAAATTCTTTTTAATACATTCCTTGATTTAAATCACTTAACTGCACAAACCAAACATACAAACTAGTTTCCAGGGATTAAATTTCCAGGAATGACATTTATGTCAATTTAATGATGAGTCGGTTGTTGGCTTACAGTCAGAGGCCTTTTTTTCCTGTTGGCTTTTTTCCTGTTGATTTTTATTTCATTTCTGCTTACCTGGTGAGCCTCAGGAGGCTGTAAGGCAGTGAGTGTTTCCTAAACTCAAGTAATATCTCACTCCTCAGACAGAATGTCAGATTCTTCAACTGCATTTTCAACTGTCTTGTGAGACAAAGACTAATTGGTTTGACCTCATGCTGTTGCGTGTTGAGAGACACGAATCTTCAGCCCTCTTCCTTGAATTCATTGATTTCATTAAACACTGTCTGCTTGTGTTTGCAAAGTGTTGTAATTTCCCAGTGATTTCTTCGAACCGTAGCACATCAACAGATTTTTTTTTGGAACAATGCCATTTCTAAGCTTGTGATCTGGTGTTTTAATCTTCTGTTTCCAATAGGTCTTCTACATTAAGACCATTGAGCCACAGAAAATATCGACCTTAGGGAAAAGTAACGTGATAGTTACAGGAGCAAACTTTACCCGGGCATCAAACATCACCATGATCCTGAAAGGAACCAGTACTTGTGATAAGGATGTGTGAGTTGAAATGCTACAAATTGATCCTTGGTAATATAAACTAAAGCTTAAAGTAATGCCAAAGAGTATCAGTGTGATTAGAACATTTCTACAGTCGAATGATTGTCTTGAATGACAGTGGGCAAATGAGGCTGAGTATTTGATGTGACATAATTCCAATAAGTAAAATAATTTTTACAGTGAATCTGAAGTTCATTGTTCCCAACCTGCTTCTCCCCAAATATCTCAGTATATGATCATTTCACAGTGTTAGCTATTAGAGGTCTTGAATCATTTTCATAACATAATTAAGTATAGAGAGTAGCAAATGTTATTGTTAAGATGATATACTCAGCCAAGAACCAGTAACTTGCACCTGTAATCTTAGCTACTTAGGAAGCTGAGACCTAGAAGATTGAGGTTCATGTCCAGCCTGGGCAGAAAAGTCCTTAAGACTTTCTAATTAATCAGCAAAAAGTAGAGCTAGCAATATGGCTCAAGTCATAGGGACTTGCTGAGCAAGCAAGCAAGCCAAGGGAGTAGAAAGTGCACATTCACATACACACAGGCAGACAGATGATGCACCTAGAAAAATTGTTGCAAACATTGGAATTTGATAGAGTATTTTATGGAACAACTCTAACAATGTGCGACCCTAGCAAATATTTTGAAATTATTTTTATATAGAAATTTTGTTCAATTTTTTGTCAGTACCAGGGTTTTAGTCAAGTTTGCTCACCTCCTTGCTTAGCTGGCACTCTACCTCTTGAGACATGCCTCTAGCCCTGCTTTTGTATGGTTATTTTGGCTATGTACTCTAGCAGACAATTCTATCCTTACTGGCTTCAGGTCTCAGCCTCTGTGTAGCTAAGATTACAAGCATGAGACATTGATGCCTCGCTAAGATTTTATTCTTTTTTTTTTTTGCCAGTCCTGGGGCTTGAACTGAGGGCCTGGGCACTTTCCTTGAGCCTCTCTGTGCTCAAGGAAAGCACTCTACCACTTGAGCTACAGTGCCACTTCAAGTTTTTTCTGTTTATGGTACTGAGGTATCAAATCCAGGCTTCATGCATACTAGCATGCTAGGCAAGCACTCTACCACTAAGCCACATTCCCAGCCCCTAAAATTTTATTTTTTATATTCTTTTTCTCCTTACTGATTTGAATTTCATTTCAAATAATTAAATTATTAATATAGCTTTTAAAAAGAGACCAGAACATCCCAGACATAAATACCTACCCAATTGTGCTACTCAAATTCCATGATTTCTATGATTTCTTGTCCTCTAACTAATCCTAGCAGTAGCATTTTTAAAAGTCCAGTGTTTTACTGATTTGTGTATGTACACAGACACATGCTTGAGCCCATACTGGGCACTGAACTCAGGGTCTTTTAGATGGTTTATTCAAGGCTGATGCTCAACCACTTGAGCCACAGCTCCACTCCTGGCTTTTGTGGTTCATTGGAGATAAGAATCTCATGGACTTTCCTGCTCAGGCTGGCTTCCAACTACCAACCTCAAGATCTCAGCCTCCTGAGTGACTAGGATTACAGGAATAAGCCACTGGAACCCAGCCTTCATTGATATTCTTGAGCAAATTGTTACTCCCTTCAACACAAATGTAATAATAATAACATGACAGATCATTTGAGTTTTCTGCTTGTTAGCTTTCATAAGTTTAGACTAATTTGAGGTAAAAAGATGTTGAGGACTACATGAAATATAATACTGAGCTTATTTTCATCATGCAAATACATTTAAGACAATCTGCTGAAGCGTGATGTTTTGGTTTTTAACTACTAAAACAGATTTGTACAGCATTCTAGTCTGCCATGCTTATTTAGTGAATTTTCTGTTTTAATTCACTTGTTTCACATCACTGCATCTCCTTCTCCTCATAGCTGTAAATGTGGAAAATATATGCTCTAATGAGAAAAGCAAGTCCTCACTGGCTTGCCCAGGTTCTGCTTGGTACCAGAACAATCTGCTACACATTAGAGACCGTATCTATGCAGCTTAGGTATTTTTTATGCCATTTATCCTAGCTAAATACCTTATTACAAGAATCCTTCATTGTGCATAGCAAAATCTATGAAGTTAGACACCTGTGTGTTCACTGAAAGGCAATCAGCTTCGCTGGAAAATAAGTCGTTTTCAGAGCATTGACCTGTTTCTGATTCTTTATCTTCTCATTTCTATTCTGCATGTGCCTTGAGATACCACCTTTATTAAATTAAATGACTATGAGACCTTTCTGCATATAGCATTTCAGGAACCACATCTGTTGGTGAACCCAAGTTCATGAGCAGTCCACCTAATCCCCAGTTAATCCTATACCTGAGTCCTAATCCTATGCCATAGTCCTAAACTCTTGGACTATGCCATTTTTTTAAAAAAATGAGTGATTATTTTGAAAGCAAAAAAATACAAGTATAACAAGAGAATGACCTACATTTCCACCTGTCTCCTTCCAAAATTTATAAAGTAGTTTGGAATCAGTGCTCACCCATTTGACAATGCACTTTCTAAGAGTACTAGTAGATTCCCTAGTAGCATCTTCAAATGAGCATGCTTCAGACACGCCCGGTCTTGATGATGTGTGTGTGTCAGTAGGTCACCACAGACACAGAGAGGACAGTGCCTGCTGGGGCCCTGCCAGCTCCCATTCTCGGAGCTCCTGAGGAGGCAGCTTTCAACCTGCTGCCTGCTGATCTGTGGTCCTGGGCTCCCGGTGTGAGCTCTCTGCTCTTTAACAGAACTTGGCTTATCTTCTGGTACTGGATGCCAGCCTCCCAATGCTGGGCGTGGACTTCTTCCTTTTTACAAAACAATATTTGCTATGGAAACACTCAAATGAATACAAGAGAGATGAGTGTGATGCGCCTCTTTACAAAGCTTCAGAGGTGATCAACATTTTCCCAACATTAAAAAAAAATCTATTTTAGATGCTTTTTGGAAGGGGTATGGTGAAGGTATACAGGAGATGGAAATTTTTCTCCAGCAATGCTGGAACTTGAACTCAGAGCTGCAGACTCTCTCGGCAAGCACTGACCTGCTTAAGCTGTATCCACAGTCTTTTTGCTGGTAGTGTTTTTTGAGATGCAGTCTTTTATTTTGGGGAGGGAGGTATGTCCAGGCTGGTCTCAAACTTCAGTCCTCCTATTTTTGTTTCCTGAGTAGCTGGAATCACAGGCTTGGCTGGGGTTTCATTCTAGGACAGGAGTTTCTTAAAAGCATCTACCAGATACCATATCCCATCACTTATAAAGTACTCTGGTAACAGATGACATAGGCTACAAATTAACTATAATTTCCTTATGCAAGTCAGTATCTATTCTCTGTTCCCTTACTACCAAAGCTTCTAAAGGGCAATGGTTACTCTTCCCTCCTTCTGAGGGAAGTACAAATAAAAAAGATAAAATTGCCAAAGAAAGAGGACCCCAGATCTACATCCAACCCTCCACCAGGCAGGCAGCCCTTGATCAATCAGAAGTTCCCAATAGCTCTGGGCCTTGTAGTCTGTGCAGTTCACATGCTGTCCCTTTGGGCAAAGCAGCTGAGCCACCTGTCTGTGTCATGTAAGAGTTCCTCTTCTCTCTCATTCTAGGATACAGGTCAGCCATGTGCTAAATGACACCCATATGAAATTCTCTCTTCCATCAAGCCGGAAAGAAATGAAGGACGTGTGTATCCAGTTTGACGATGGGGACTGCGCCTCTGCTGGAGCGTTAACCTACATTGCGCTGCCGCACTGCTCCCTCACAGTTCCTGCCACCACCTGGATCAGGTATTGTCTCCCGTTGCCTCGCTCTCCTTGTGGGGAAGGGGCGTTTGTATAACCATCATGGATTTCCTTCCAGTCCATTCAGCAATGGTAGCCCTATCAAAATTCCTCTTAGGATTTATTCCTAGACAAATGCATACCTGACAAGTTCCCGTTGATCACATGAGCCCTGTGAGCACATCCTGTTTTTCTCTTAGACATGGCTGCCAGGAAACTCACAGCTCAAATGTTTGTTCAACCACAATAACTATTCTTAGCCCAGATTTCTGCTACAAGTCTGTGACCCTCTGCCTGACGTGTCACTCCAGCAAGTGATAAAAGGCTCCTTTCTGGTATCTTTCATTTGATAACTTTTAGAGTCAGCTGTTTTGAAGGAATGCTTTGGGGAAAATAATGGGAGCCATCGGAAGGAAGAACGGTATCTACACTTCAAAGATAACTCTTTAAGTGAGATATGGAAATTCCAACATAAACTCTTCCAGATGAGTCTAATATATGAAGGCAAAGAAAGTCTCTCCCTAGTCAGATTTAAAATTCACATTTGGATTTGGAAATACAGCCTTAAAGAGACTGTCTTTATTTAACACAGCATGAAGCTAATTTTCAAAGTACTTTCTAGATAAAACTAGGGACAAAGCTTTGGGAGGATAAAAAAGAAAAGAAAAAAATTCGCCTCTGGTATTGAAGATTGAGAGGTGGCTGTATTAATTTGATAAAGCTGATATGACAAAATGCCACAGACTGGGTAGTTCAGACAACAGACATCTATTTCTTCCCTTGTGTGGAGCTAGAAGTCGGAAGTCAAGGTGCTGACAGTGTTTGTCTCTTCTGAGGCCCCTCTCCTTGGTTTGCACATGGCTGTCTTTTCCCTGACCCTTCCCATGATCCTCTTTCCATTTATCTTCTTCTTATAAGGATGGCAGGCACACTGGCTCACCTCAAGACTTCATTTATCATTAAATGAACTCCTGAAAGAACCTATCTCAGACTGAGAGTATGGTTTGGTGGTAGAATACTTGCCTTGGGTTCGATTCCTAGCACTGCCAAAAAGATTTTTTAAAAAAGTTCTGTCTCTATATTCAGCCTCATTTTGAGATGCTGAAGATTAGGGGTCCAGCACACAAACTTAGCAGCCCATTAGAGTAGCACAAGAAAATAAAACTTTAAGAAAGGCTGTTGCATGCCACCTCCCTCCTCTGAGCCTTTTTTTCTTCCACATATAAAAGCATACATAAATATGGCCCTTACCATGTTCCTGGTATGTTATACTATTGACCTGGTTAATTCTTACCACAAACCTGGGAGGCCTACAAGGGGCTGAGAGCAAGCTGAACCATGAAGAGGGGTCAAAGGGCATGCTCGACTGCTTAGTGGTTGGACCCAGGATGCTGTCCTGTATCACCACAGGATTCTGCTCCTCTGTGATATGAGAACTCCTGAGTGTTCTGCTACCCAGAATGTACTGAGCCTCTCTGTATTCTCCCTTGCTCCAGGTCTTTGAGATTTGAGCAAGAAGCAGACTCTGCAATATAGTTTCAGCAGAACAAGCTTGATTTGGTTTTCCAGTTATCACAAGTGTTGGCAGGAGCCCTGGGTCCTGCCACCTTGTGGATTGAGGGGTCAGGCCCAGTGTCATTTTTCTGCTCTACCCACAATCCTACCTCCTAGCCTTATCAACAGGGGTTCAGTCTAGACCCCACATACTCAGACTCTTGTCTTCTGGAAAAAGGGTCTGGTGACCTGTGGGAAGAGGGACACCAAAGCAGACAGAGTAATGGACAGCCCACTGGCCACTTTGCTGGTATTAACAATGCGTAGAGAATGTGTGCAGCCTCTTGACGTGGCTTTGATGAGATAACTGTAGCCTCCTCACACACTTTGAAATGTGGTTTCCCAAACAAGAATTTATATTTCTAATGTCATTTATAATTTTACCCTGTCCAGAGTGTTCCCTGCCTCCCTAAATAGAATATAATTGGTAGGTTGAAAGTTTGATTTGGAAAATTGCTAGATTGAAGAATCTTCATCGAGATTAAACAACAATCAATATTCTGTTCAGTGAAACTTTGTCAAGGTTCAGTTGATGATCTGATTACATGTGGTAAAAGGCACAACGAAACTCAAATTCTATTAAAGAATTTGGATATTTTCCTAGAGTGGAAATAGAATCGGACCTGAATTTTGATGTTTATGTGTGGTAAAACCATGGACTTGTGGCCAATATTTGAAGCTTCAAAAGGCTTTTTAAAAATTGTCTTTGGTAAAGTGTCTCTCAGGTATTACAGAGTTGAACATTAAATGTGAATTAAGTGATGTTTATAAATGCAAAATGCCTAACTACTTAACCTTCATCATTGCTTTTTTTTCCTTTGCAGTGGTGGGCAAAATATAACAATCATGGGCAGAAATTTCGATGTAATTGATAACTTAATCATTTCACACGAGTTAAAAGGAAACATAAATGTAAGTCTTGGGCTCTAGTAGCTATTTTCAGTGGTAATTTTGTTTGCCTCACACAAAATGTGTTGAGGGTATGTTTTATTCCAATGACTTGGTATGATAAACCTTTACCTATTACACGGTATAGAACGGCTGTGCTGTAACTGGAATAATGAGACCTTATACTTGTAGTTGGGTATTTCGGGTTGCCAAACAGAGGAAGAGAAACGAACTTGCTATGACAAGACCTGCCATTGGCTCCTGGTGTGATTTGTGGCAAGTCCCGTTAATGAGACAATGCTGTGCATCTGGGTGAAAATGTTTCATGGAGGGTTGAGGTGTGATAAAGAACGTTTCTGTGAAGAGTAGGTGGTGTTTCCATTTCACACAGAGCAGGGGCGAGTGCAGGAAGGTGAGATGACTTACCACATTCCCAGAGGCCCCATCATACTTCTTCTTGCCGTTGTCTCTTGGACCGGGTTTGGTGTGCCTTCCATCGACTCTTGCCTTCTTTTGCTTTCCATCTTCCCTCAGTGGAAGCTAGGAGGGGTCTGGTCCTCACCCATGGCTCAGTTCTCCTGAGAGAGCCTCATGATGGAAGCTTCTGTTGCCAGGAGTTTTGGGGGGTGGGGTGGGGTGCGATGGACAATGCGGAGCCTCTAAGTGCGCTGCTAAGCACTTCCTGAATGTTCTTCCCCTTCTCTCTTCCCCTTTCTCCCTTTCTTTAATGAGAGATGTGAAGAAAGCAACCTCCCTGGGGCCTCACTTGACCACTTCCTGACAAGGCTGGCCTTAGACTTTGTTCTTCTTGGGACCAGTGTGGTTCAGGCCTAGATGTGGAAGAGCTTTCAGCTCCATCATCCTTACCGTATTTTCCTACGTACATCCACTCGGATGCACGTCAGAGCCACTTCCTAGATCACCCTATCTGATTCTGGATGAGGGCCTGGCTCTCCCTGTCTGACTCTGGGCCATGTCTCCATGATGCAAACATATTCCGTTGCATAGCTGATCCTCTGAGCAGAGGAATGGCCCGAACTTGCCTTCCCAAATACTGTTCCCGGATCAAGTATAATGTATTGATTACCTACTTTGGGCAAAAAATATCTTGCTGGATGAAAGGTCAGTGAGACAACATATCTACACAGAGATGGAAAGTTGGCAGCACAAGGTGATAGGAGATACTAGGTCCTCTGATCCTTTCCAACTCAGAAACCCCAGGAGTCCACCTCGGCCCGGTACACTAGTATTTGGAGTGCAGTAGAATGGACAGGACTGGATGTGGGTGGTGGGGTCTGGAGGGGGGACGCAGCAGGAGGCCACTGCAGGTATAGAGGACAGGTTTCTCACCTGCTCACCACTAGAGTGTCACTCAGCCCTGTTCAGCTGGAGCCTTGAGAATGGGTCAGGAATGGGTGAGAGCAGTGCCTGAGACTGCATTGGACCATATTAAAAACTTTGCCCTTGACTCTGTAGGCAATGGGGAGCTATCGAAGGTCTTTGAGCAGAGAGACACATGGGTATAGATCTTGTTTTGGCAGTAGTGCGTAGGATAGTTTGAAGACATTGTGAGAGGAGGAAGGATTGGAAGCCCAATGAGGAGGCCTATGCAGATGTCCAGGCATGGCTGAGATGTCAACAAAGACTCAGCCCAGCAATCCACTGGACTATCATCTCAGCAAGGTGGGTCTAGTGGACTAGCAGCGATAGTGAGGCAGAGAGGGTCAGCTTCTCTGTAACATTACCGTCTAAGGGAAGGTGGGGTGGCATCATGGGAGCCAGTGAGAGCACCGAAGATGGAAACATGAGCACCTAAGGACCGAATCTGGCAGCTTCCTCCTTAGGAATGCAAGGAAATAGAATGGCCAGAGAAGGCAACTGAGAAGTTGCTGAACATTAGAGCACACAAAAGCATTAAGGGTGTGGGAGATGGTTACTAGTATGGATTGAGGGGTCTGAGGGGTAAGAAGATGGGACCGTCCTGGTGCTTGTTATCTTACTGGAGGATACAAGGCCAGCTTGGATTTGTGGCTGCTGAGGAGGTGGAGATATGGTCCAGGCTGTCATCTGAGCATGAGAAAGCAAAAGCAATAATCAGGGCTGGAATTTGGCAGGGTACACGGATAGAAGGGAGGGTTTGTGTGTCCAAATACCAGCCATCTGTATCAGATTCTCCCACTGGGCCCTATTTTTTTTCCTTTTTCTGATACTCTGGTATTAGAGAAAACAACATCACAAAGAATAGCTCTCTTCTTACCTCACACACTAATTTCCATGCGTTTTTGTTTAGCTTCTTTCTTATTGTTTTGTCCTATAGTGTTTGGGGCCTAACCCAGGGCCTCAGGCACACTAGACAAGCTCTCTGCCACTAAGATACATCCATCCCCAGCCCATACTTCTTTCAGCCTTTGCCACTTATACCCCAGCTTTCTCTCCTTGTTTCTCTGTACATCTGAAAATGACAATATATTTAGGTTAGGGGTCAACAGACCTATCTGTTGGGCCAACATTTGTGTATTACTTCCAGGTTTCGCACTTTTCATTTCCTTGGAGTTACTATCCCTTTGACTTTTCTTTTCTCCTATGTTCTGTCATGCCTGAAAAACCTTTTCCTCCTTGTGGCTAGGGACTTCTGCTAACGCTCTGTGGAAAGTTCCCCAGCACAAAGTGACTCAGCTCAGGCAGCCGCAAACAGGTCAGGTGCTGGCCTTGCTCACGGCTGAGCCCTTCTCTTCCCTCCCTGAAGTTGCCTGGACTCAGTCAGGCTGATATGGAGGATATCCAAGCCCAGCATCTTTCCCTTTTCCATCTTTTCATTTTTTTGTTTTGAGACCTTTGTACCTGATGCTTTTACCCAATGGTTAGGACTCTACCAACTGAGCCCCACCTCTAGCCCATCTTCCCCTTTCTCTAACCTGCTTCTCTCTTCACAACTTCTCTTCCATTGCCTAACTTTCTGACAGCTTTCATTCTTGTCCATATGATCAATAATGTTATGGATAATCAGCATGTATTGAATGTTACTGGGCACCAGATATTTTCTAAATTTATCTCAATTTAATTTAGAACTAATTTAATCCTGGCAGGTCAATAGTATTGTACAGATGAAGAAATGATGGGCAAATAAGAAGTTTGGGCTAGGTGCTGGGTGGCTCACACATGTCATCTTAGCTACTCTGGAGGTTGAGAGTCTAAGGTTTAAGGTTGAAAGCCAACCCTGGCAGAAAAGTTCATGAAATTCTTATATCCACTTAACCAGAAAAACAGCCAGAAGTGGAGCTGTGGTTCAAGTGGTAGAGTACCAGCCTTGAGCATAAAAGCCAAGCTAGAACAAGAAGCCCTGAGTTCAAGCCCCCACTACTGGCATTAAAAAAAGAAAGAAGAACTTTGGTTGCCTGGGTATCTTAGCAATTAGAGACCAGTTTTGAGATCTTCTAGGTCATATTTTTTTAATTTTCTCTCCCAGGTCTCTGAATACTGTATATCAACTTTCTGCGGGTTTTTAGCCCCCAATTTAAAGAGTTCCAAAGCACGCACAAATGTTGCTGTGAAGCTAAGAGTTCAAGATACCTACCTAGACTGCGGAACGCTGAAATATCTCGAGGACCCCAGGTTTACAGGGTATCGAGTAGAATCCGAGGTTGACTCAGAACTGGAAGTGAAAATCCAAGTACGTGCTGGTGGATGGGCCCCGCCCCCTGGGCTGAAAAGGTGTCTTATGCTTGTGAATTTCCACAAGTGTCCTCATGTGTTCTTCTCCTTTCCATTCTTCACAGAAAGAAAATGACAACTTCAACATTTCCAAGAAAGACATCGAAATTACTCTCTTCCATGGGGAAAATAAGCAATTAAATTGCAGTTTTGAAAATATTACTCGAAACCAAGATCTCACTACTATTCTTTGCAAAATTAAAGGCATCAGGAATGCAAACAGTATCGCCACCTCTTCCAAGAAAGTTAGAGTAAGTCACCTGGAAGGCCCACTTGCTGCCCTTACCTGAGTTTTGCTAATTCCCTGGCTGTCCAGGGAACGGAATCTTTTATGGATCTCTAGATCTTCACTTTAAATAGAAGAGAAACAAAGCTGGTGCTGCCAGCCGAAGCATAATTCCTCCAAAATAGCAGGCGGAATGCATCCATGTGGTTGTTTGAATGTCAAAGCATTGAACACACCATTGTCTATAATCCTAATGAGTCTTGATAGCTTTTGTTCTAGCCATACATTTAGACTGTAGCATCTGTAAGCAGCATCCCCAGACCCTTTAACAACTGAGCTGTCACTCTTTCCCTGAATGCAGAGGTGATGTATCTTAGCAGAAACCCAAAATAGGGGTATCTTTGGCACACCCAGCACTTCAGACACCAAATAACCTACTGGTTATGATTACTTCCTCCACCACTTAGTAAGACTTTCCTGCAATTCACCTTTTCCCTTCATCTTCGAGGGACCCATCGCTGGTGTGTGCCCTACCATAAAGAGCTGGAACAACTAAGAAGGAACATTCTATCTAGTGTTTGTGAAACATGGTACATGACGCTCCGCACGATCTATGTAAAAAATGTTTATTGACTGGATGTCAGTGGCTCAGATATATCATCTTCACTACTCAGGAGGCTGAGATCTGAGGATCACATTTAGAAGCCAGCCTGGGCAGCAAAGTCCGTAAGAGTCCATAAGAATCCTATCTCCAGTTAACCGCCACCACCACCACCAACAACAACAACAAAAACTGGAAGTAGAGGCATGACTCAGGTGATAGAGCTCCAGAGATGACTGGAAAAGCCAAGTGAGACCACAAGGCCTTGAGTTCAAGCCCCAGCACTGACACACAAAAAGTAACAAAAAAGCTTTCTAGGCCTTGGGTGTAGAGCAGTGGTAGAGCACTTATCGGACATCCTTAAGGCCCTAGGTTTAATCTTTAGCACTGAAAAACAAAAGGCTTTGTGATCTATAGTCATAAATAATTGGATCAAGGATAAAAAAAAAAAAAAGAACGTAACAGAGTTGAAGGCAAAAGAAGTACTCAGATATCCTGCCTAGCTCGGCCCCTCTTTTTTTTTTCCACCCCGGGAGAAACTACTTAGAGAAATGACAGCACTCAGCCTCCCTGGTTCTAATGGTGTCCTTTGTCCCATCAGGTCAAACTGGGAAACTTGGAGCTCTATGTTGAACAGGAGTCCGTTCCTTCCACGTGGTACTTTCTGATCGTGCTTCCGGTCTTGCTGGTGGTTGTCATTTTTGGTAAGTGCCCTGTGTAATTTTATCTGAGAAGGGAGTCCCTGGGGCCACTCTTCAGGCAGGCAGGCGGTCAGCGGTCAGGGCCGTTTGCTTCCATTAAGTATTAATGGGTTAAAAACCCAAGTCAAAACTTTAGGACGTACATGTTGAGGGCTTTCTGAGGAAAAACAATGTTCAGGATGAAGTTAGATGACAGATAGTATCTTGGGGTTTGGGAAATGTCATCTACTTTACTTCCTTGGTTTTTTGAGTTGTGCTGAAAAAAACAAACAACATCTTCAGTATCTCCTTAGAATTCTCCTGGGATTGTGAACTTTCAGATCTTGGCTACCTCATCCTGCCTTTTAATACCCCTCCCTAAATACAGCCTCCGGCCTTTACCTGGACCTGCTTTTTCCTGGCAGAACTAGACTTTGGAAATGTAAGCCATGTCATCCATAGTAATGCACCTTGGTTTCTTGGAGCACAGGGTCCTCTGGCCCTTGTCACTGGCCAAATCTGCCCCCCCCCCCAGTGTGTTTTCTTGAGTTTTTACTTTTGTTTTTTAACCTCAAAGATGATTATATTTTAAAAATTAAGTAACTCAAGTTTTAACATTTGTGTGTGGGGGGGGGGGGTTTGAATGATTTGAATGATTGGAGCCCAGCGTACTTCCATAGAGAAGACAGTGTTTTCTGAAGTTTCGCCATACTCTCCACCATTCCCTAATGTATCACCGAATTACTCAACTCTTCTATGTACCTGGTCCTTGCAACAATTCAGTTTGTGGCCTCTGATTTCGGAACCGCCTTTCATTCTATTGTCTCTTCTTCTTCTTCTTCTTCTTCTTCTTCTTCTTTTTTTTTTAACAAATTGTAGTACTTTGTATTTGTTAATATAAGGATTATCTTTCTAACATTTTTAGGGAAATAGAGGGCAAGAGAGGGAAATATAGGGAAATGCTTGCTTGCTCCTTCCCTCATCCATCCAGCCATCCATCCTTCTATCCATTCATCCATCTCTCCATACATACATCCATTTCAAAATCCCTTGTTTTTATTGTTTCTGATGACTGCGAAGAAAAGGTTTTTGTGTATGAATAATTGGCCAAAGTTTTCATGTACACTTTCCAAAGAACCTGTTTTGCCCTGCTGATGATTTTATTGTCTTTTTTTTCTTTTTGATCTCCCCAAGTTGCCCAACTTTGTCCATACATTTGGAATCTTCTGTGAGCTTTAAGTTTAATTAAATTAATTAATTAGGTTGTACTGGGGATTGAACTCAGAGTCTCACCTTTGAGAGGTAGGAGCGCTATCACATGAGCCATTCCTCCAGCTTCTTTTTCCACTGGTTATTTTCAAACATAGGTTTCACTTTATGCTCGGGCCAGCCTATGCTTTGCTCTTCCTACTTACGCTTTCGTGAGTCACTGGGGATAACAAGTGTGCACCACTGCACCCGGTCATTGCAGTTGGAATAACAGGCATGCACCATCGCGCTCAGCCATTGAGTGGAATGGAGTTTCATAAACTTTGAGACACAGGCTAACCTCAAACCACAATCCTCCCATTTCTGCCTTCATGTAGCTAGAATTACAGGCTTACTTCACTGTGTCTGGCTAGACTTAATATTTTAATCAAGTAGTAGCTTCATCTAAAAAAATTATTTACAGTCCAAACATTGGTTTGTGTTTCATGACCTCACTGATATTAATCAGCCTTGTGTACACAAGCCTCACCAGAGAGTCTTGTCTTCTAGGTGGCTTACTAGAGTCCTGTGGTCTTTTTCTGACCTGTGCATGACATTCCATTCTGCTCCCTTCAGTTGGCTTATAGAGATTGTTTCTGTACCTTAAGGTAAAGTGTTCTAAAGTGTTCTAAATATGGTACATTGTTTTGCTTGTCTTATTCCCTGCTCACCCCCCACCCAGCATATTCCAGCAGGCATGTGTCACCAGCAGCTTAAATATGCACTTTAGTCCATCATTAGGGAAAACACTAAACACACCTGGCCAATGCCTGCCACCTACAGAGCATCTCATTGACTTGTGCCAGGAATAGCTCCCTGCTGTGTCGGGGGGCCTGTCAGCTCCCTGTGCCTGCCCAGGCTAGTGCTGCTCAGGGTGCAGCCTGAGAAACCATGTCTCAGTGACACTTCCAGAGAAGGGAAATTAACTGCCTTCTCAGCCCTTCCTGGGAGATGCACGATGCATATTGCCAGCATCTTGAAGAAGTCTTGTAAAGAACTGTACTTGATTTTTTTTCCCTCTAGCATCATTCACTAATTCGAATGATATCTACTGACAGTGGAGTCCTTTAATCATGTAATTTCTATTAGAAGAGGAGAGACTTCTTAGCATAATAATGAGAGCTGACAACTGTTGAGTACTTACACTTTGGGGTGTGTGTGTGTGTGTGTGTGTGTGTGTGTGTGTGTGCATGCGTGTTCATGAGTGTGTATGCATACATGGGTATGTGTACACATGTACCAATACTGGGGCTTAAGCTCAGGGTCTGGGGACTGTATCTTAGCTTTTTCAATGAGGGCTAGTGCACAGCTCCACTTCCCCTTTTTGGTGGTTAATTGGAGATGAGAGTCTCCCAGACTTTTCTTCATGGGCTGGCAGTCCTCATATCTCAGCCTCCTGAGTAGCTAGGATTATAGGCAGTTCCTGGCTAAGTACTTATTCTTTTGAAAGACTTAAGTTTTTCATATTTTTTGTGTGTTTGAACTACTTTCCATATGCCTCTCAACATAATGGTAAGGTAGACACTCTTACAGATAAGAAACAGAGAAGATAAGCAACTTACCCACGATAACATAAATGGTAAGTAATATGCACATAAACCCAAGCTCCTGAATCCACTCAGTTTACCTACTCAAACATAGGGTTGGAAACAAGCTGAGACAGAGAAACAATGTTCAGATATTGGAGCTCTTGTGGCTCCCCCGTTGTGTCATCCTGTTAGAATTGTGCAAGTTTGGCTTATGTATCCATCTGGTTTCCTTCAGCATTTGCCACACAACTTTATTTCTCCAGGGATGTTTAGAAACATTGAAAAAAAACCATAGAACAATATAAGTGGCCTGTGGCTGGAGGGAAAGTTGACTTACTTCATTAGTTTTTAGCCAGCTGGGATCTTTGGCTACAAGCGAAGGTTATTTGATTTAGTTTTCACTTTTAAAATGAGTGGAATTTTTTTCCCTGTTGCATTTTAGCTTCGTTCTCTTTAGAATAACAGTCACTGGGAAAATTTTCCTTTTATAAATGGTATTCTCTACTCTGATACACTCTCTCTCCCTCCCTCCCTCCTTCCCTTCTTTTTTTCTCTCATTTCTCCTTCCCTTCTTCTCTTTCTCCCTTTATTTCCTTTTCGCATCATCTTGCTTGTAACACTGAAAATTGAACCTAAGAACTCATGCTTGCTAGGTAGGCACTCTACCATTGAACCATTTCTCCAACTTTGGGGGTTTTTTTGGTCAGTCGTGGGGCTTGAACTCAAAGCCTGGGCACTGTCCTGGAGCTTTTTCACTCGAGGCTAGTTCTCTACCACTTTGAGCCACAGTTCCACTGCCAGCTTTGGTTTTCTTTGCTGGTTATTTTTGAGATAGGGTGTCGCTTCCTACCCAGCCATGTGTCTGGGTGGCCTCTGTCTACAGCTGGGCTGTCTTTTTAACAGGGGTGCACCACCACATCCAGCTCTCCCGTAGGGAGTCTTGTGACCTTTTTTGCCCACGCTGGTCTCAAACCATCCTCCTCCCAATCTAGCTTCCCAAGTAGCAAAGACTAAAGGTATGAGCTACCACTGCCCAACCTGCTTTTGTTTTTAAGTTCACACATCCATCTGAGCCAGCATCTCTGTCTCCTCAGCTGCTGTCGGGGTGACCAGGCACAAATCAAAGGAACTAAGCCGCAAACAGAGTCAACAGCTAGAGCTCTTGGAGAGTGAACTTCGGAAGGAGATACGCGATGGTAGGCTCCAAGCTCTTTATTTGTAGAATAAAAAAACAAGATCATTTTACTTTTATTTTAACTTTTACCCTTACTCGGAGAGGGCCACGTAATGAGAACTGTTTGTATAATAGGAGACAACTGAACAGCAGGACCTGGGCCGGGCTTTGTGTTTTATTTCAGCTCTTCTCTGCAGCCAACCAAGTAATTATCTATTGTTTCTTCCTTAATGAAAACCAAGGTCATACTCTGTGTTAGACAAAACAGCAGAAGATCTTATCCATTGTGCGTGGAGTTAAAATATTGCTCTTGGGATTCTGTTTTGCAGGCTTTGCTGAGCTTCAGATGGATAAATTGGATGTGGTTGATAGTTTTGGAACTGTTCCTTTCCTTGACTATAAACATTTTGCTCTGAGAACTTTCTTCCCTGAGGTAAAAGAGCATTGATCATATTTCTAAGGTTGAGTCTTGAATAATAATGAAGGTGCTTAGTTCCAAGGAGATGGTAGATAATACACTTGGCGCAAAATACTGGCTTAAGTTAGAGCTAAGCAAGAAAGAAAATAATTATTAATTGCATTGATTAGAGTATAAAGCCAAGCAGTGGGTCACTGGTGATTACTCTTTGTCTGGTAACGAAAACCTAGGAGGGACAGAAGTTCAGAGTGATGATTTTTGCTTTATTTTACTACCAGTGTGGAACTGAATTTGTAGCTGGGAAGTGAGCTAATTCATTCAAAAATCAATAAATTGTGGGCTGGCTAATTTGTTGTGTTTATCTGCCTGACTTACATTGCAGCTACTAGATTATTCACTATTACTTCTCAATTGGAAATGAAAAGTAGGACCAGCCGAAAGGGAGGAAATCAGACGTGTAAAGAATCTGAGTTGCTACCAGGCATTTTTAGCAATGTAAAGTTGTAATGGGTTCTGCTAGGCAGTTTTTCTTTAACTGAACACTCGGTATTGTCCTCAGTTAGTAGAAATAGCTGCACAACATGATTGACTAATTGCTCTGGATCTGCAAGGGGTAGCCTATGGAGCCTTTGGGGTTTGGATCTCACCTCTGTTCTGACACTTCCATTTCCTCACCCACCCACCCAGCCTTCTTCATTCACCCTCCCAAAGCCTTTGGCAAGGTCCGCACTCATCCTGTCTCATCACCTCGCGTCTTGATACCCCAGCTCTGACATATTGCTTCTGTTCTTCTGGTCCAGAATTGGTGACCACAGAGAGACCCAGCCTCTGAACACATCAACCCTGATGACCATATCTATCTAAATCTAGACTTTTAACCAAAGCCAGAAATCTCTCCAGGCCAATGGAGAGAGAGAGTTTATATTATCACCTTACCAGAAACTTTTCAGCTACATTTGGCCAGAAGCCTAGAGTTCAGAAACCCAAACACATGTAGTAAGCAAATTTTTTCTATAATTCTAGAAGCAGACACCATGCTCTGTGATACTGAGTCTCTAGGTTGAGTTACCTTCATGAGACATTTGCTGTATATTTGGGGCCGAATACAATCCTTTGTATTGTATTCAAGAAGGCTATAAACCAAACTTCAGCTTTTTGTCCTTATATTTTTGAAAACTTACCCTCCAGCAATACCAGGGACCAAAATTGGACATTGGCTGCCATAGTCATTTCTTTTCTTTTTTTTTTTCTTTTTTTGGTCAGTTATGTGGCCTGAACTCTGGGCCTGGGCGCTGGCTCTCAGCTCTTCAGCTCAAGGCTAGCACCCTACCACTTGAGCCACAGTGCCACTTCCAACTTTTTCTGTTTATGTGGTACTGAGGAATTGAACACAGGGCCTCATGCATGCAAGGCCAAGCACTCTACCACTAAGCCACCTTCCCAGCTGCATGTCATAGCCATTTCTATGGCAGCTCTGTCTGGAGAGGGGAGGCCGAAGAGGAGAGGCCAAGTTTCTGTGTCAGGAAGACATATGGGGTCTCCACAAAGGTTACCTGAAAGAGTCCTATTTCCCAGCTCTCTGAGATCCCCATTAAGAATTTAGCAGCAATAAAATAACAAGAGATTTCAACCATCAACATGAGTACTGTGTGGGCTTTTACAGTTAATGATTGCCCTTAAGTGCTGAATAGAGTCATCGGTAGCTTAAAAAAAGAAATGTTCCTGTCTCCTAAATTCTGTAATCAAAAGCAAGACAGATTGATGAGTGTCAGAGAACTCTGTTGCAAGTTGAGTGTCTCCAAAAAAAAAGTGCTAGCAACAGTGACACATTTTAGGGAAGAGAAATAGTTGTAAGGAACCAAAATGATTTAATTCAGAATTATGGAAAGCCATAAAAAGAAATCATTGAAAGAGAGGACCTAAGGAGAAACAAGTATAAATTTGTCTGCAACCTATCAAGAAAAACCTAAGCCACAATTGAATTTGTAATAATTAAAAGAAGAGAGCAACATTATATTGGGACACTGCCATTTAAAATGCACGTCAGGCTTCAGATAAGCCCTCATATTAATTAAACACTTTCCTGATTGATTGGGAATTAAGTCTTTGGGCCTGGAGCCTGGGTATTAGAGGAGAGCTTGATAGATCAACCTCTACCAGCCAGTAGTAGGGAAAACAGAGGAATTGTTGGCTCCCAAAAGAGGCTAAGTGATCACCAGCTCCCTGCTTCTTGGCCCTACTGCCTGGTTTTGGCTTTAAAGCTTTGCTTTTCATTAGATTGGCTCCTTTCACTGCGTTTCTGTTTCTCTGTCTCTCTATCTCTCTATCTCTGTCTCTCTGTCTCTGTCTCTCTGTCTCTGACCCTCTGTCTGTCTGTATGACTCTCTTTCTCTCTCTCTCTCTTTCCCACCTGAAAGTAGGAGAAGAAATAAGGGTAAGCTGAGGATCTAATCTCCAGAAAGAGAGAAATTTGAATGAAAGGAGGAAAGAGCCTTGGAATACAGTCAGTCAAGGCAGCATGTCACTAGTTAAAGTTAAGAATCAACCCTGTTAAACTGGTCATTTAGATGAAGTTGATTCAGTAGGAAAGTATTTGGGACTAGAAAATGCAAATCCAGGCCTTGTTTTACTGCTTTTGTCTAGGGGAGAAGTCCATGGTCAAATTAGTTCAAAGTCATCTCAAACTATTCTTCATTAAGTTTACCTTATTAATTTATAAAAATAGACCTACAGTTTCAATTATTACAAAAAGAGAAAGGAAAAAAAGACCTCAGTGTTTATGTTTTTCATTAAAAGTATTCCTCAATATGCTTTTCAAATGTAATCATTCATTCCAAGGAGATTTATGATGTATTTTTTAACTCAAACTTTCAAGTTTATGTTCGAGAGCTACATAGCATAATACATAGAAACACAGTTCCAAACCAGTGGGCTAATAGCATTGTGGTCTAGCCTGCCACAAGTTAGGAATAAGAACAGTAATAGCTGGTTTCAAGCACTTACTCTGAACACTCATTCACATCATTTTCACATTTAGCCCATGAATAGGAACATTACTGTCCCCATTTTACAAATGAAGGAAGTGAAGCACCAAGAGGTTAAATAACTGTCCAAAGTCACATGACCAATATATGGTAAAACCAAGACTGGACCCCAAGAAGTTTGGCTCTGGATTCTATGCACTGCATTCTACCTTTTCTTAATAACGTTGCATATTGAGATAGCAGGTACTACTTGGCTATAAGACTGGTGCGAACTTACCAGTAAAATTCAAGATTTCTCCTTACAAGGTAAATTGCTTGAGGAGTAGTCTGCCATTCACATAAACTTCTCCAACCATCTCTTTAACTTTTGAATCAATTCTTTTTTAAAATGTGAAGGGATGGATCCCTTCACTTACCCAACAGGAGACTGATGAGCAGTAATATTTATTCTTCTTAGAGGCTTTCTGAATTCACTGGTGTTTCTTGAGAGCTGAATAATTATTTATTATGTATTGTAAGGTATGCATTGAGCATAAGTCCAGGGTCTCTTCAGATTAGCAAATAGCGTCTCTACTTTATTAAAACAGACTTGGGTATTATAACAAAAAATACATTCTTCATTTCCTTTGGATGTTATGAATAATAAAAGTGTCTCCTTCCTCTCAGTCAGGTGGCTTCACACACATCTTCACTGAAGATATGCATGTAAGTCTCTAAGTTTTCATTTTTAGCCCAGTGACTGCCTGACTCTCACAGTGCTATCATCATCATTATCATCTCCATTATGATTATTTTGAACTTTTATTGTGGGTTTTTGGATCATGAATTCAATATTGAATAATTCATTGTCTTGGAAAAACCCTTTGTGAATCTACTTTCTAACTTTACACTTAGATTATATTATATGATATTCTTTTTTTTCTCTCATTCTTTTTTCCCCCTAGAACAGAGATGCCAATGGCAAGAATGAAAGCCTCACCGCTCTGGATGCCTTGATCTGCAATAAAAGTTTCCTGGTTACTGTCATCCATACTCTAGAAAAGCAGAAAAACTTCTCAGTAAAGGACAGGTAGTAAGGCAATTCTTTTATATTTTGAAAGCCCTTAAGCAGAGAAAATAAAACTGGAGCTCCTTATTTTATTTCCAATCTATTACCTGCACTTAAACATGAACTTCAGCATTAGGGGTGTGATGCGGCTAGGATACCTTGGATTTCACATCATAGTGCTCCAACACAAATTCTTTTTTTTTTTTTTGGTCGGTTGTGGGGCTTGAACTCTGGGCCTGGGCGCTGTCCCTCAGCTCTTCAGCTCAAGGCGAGCGCTCTACCGCTTGAGCTACAGCACCACTTCCGGTTTTCTGGTGGTTTATTGGAGATAGGAGTCTCACGGTCTCTCTTGCCCGGGCTGGCTTTGAACCACAATCCTCAGATCTCAGCCTCTTGAGTAGCTAGGATTACAGGCGTGAGCCACCAGTGCCCAGCTCCAACACAAATTCTATCTTGGAGATACACATGTACAAAACAACTCTCTCCAAAAACCCTGAAAACCCCCATCACTATGAAAAAACCCCACCAAATTCTTAATTAAAAAAAGCAGAAGTGTTAATTTTTAAAAATACCCTGAAAATTTAGAAGATTCACTTCTTGTTACTTCTTTAGTTTAAGTGCTGTTTAAATACTTAAATGCTTTAGTGTAAGCACAGAAAATGTCATGACGTTAACAACATTCTTGTGCAGTTTTAGGACTTGAAGATAGAGTCTAAAGCAAAGAGTAACCCATAAAATAGCATTCCTTGCCTCAGTGAACTTCCCTAGAAACCATTAGTAACCCAGCCACACTCAGGGCTGATGCTTAATGGAGGCTTTATTTTTAAACAGGTGTCTGTTTGCTTCCTTCTTAACCATTGCTCTACAAACCAAGCTGGTCTACCTGACCAGCATCTTGGAGGTGCTGACCAGGGACCTGATGGAACAATCTAGCAACATGCAGCCTAAACTCATGCTAAGGCGCACAGAGTCTGTGGTGGAAAAACTACTCACAAACTGGATGTCTGTCTGCTTGTCTGGTTTTCTTCGGGTAAGTGTCACCATGTCCCTTGGCCAGGGTCAGAGGTAAGACAATAGGTGATTATTTTTAGCAGACACCAGTGTCTTTGCCAAGAAGAGTCCAGAATGCTCCATGGTGTCAGCATTTAACTGTATTTGATCCTGGTCCCTTCCTGGAAGCAGACAGAGGAAGAAAATAAAAAATAATTTTTGCTACAAATGTAGCAAAAATGGCCTGCCCACACTCATTTAAAATTTCTTCAGGTAAGACTCTTCAAGTGAGCTCACTTTCTTACCCTTAACATTTGTTAACACCCAGAGCCCCAGCAGCTCATTTAAGAAAATGTAGTGAGGGCTGGGAGTGTGGCTTAGCAATAGAGAGCTTGCCTTGCATGCATGAAGCCCTGGGTTTGATTCCTCAGGACCACATAACAGAAAAAGCCGGAAGTGGCGCTGTGGCTCAAGAGGTGGAGTGCTAGCCTTGAGCAAAAGCAGCTCAGGAACAGTGTCCAGGCCCTGAGTTCAAGCCCCAGTAGTAGTGAGGCAGAGTATTTCAAATACAGAAGAGAACAAACTGTTTCCAAGGCCTCTGAAACATTTACAACGACTCATCACCCACGCCCATTTTCTGAAAGCCGATGACAGTCATTTTTACCAGGCATTCTACATTAAAGCAAATCCCCAAAGTCTTTTGCCCTCGGAATTCTCTTTGCTGGAGTGACTGTTCCAATGTGGTTGTAATATAATTGCATCTTACATCTGGGGGGAAGGGGGAATGCAAACTTTCCACAGATTCCATAGTTAATAAAGTGAGCCTCAGAACCCACTTGACTTTGCCATTTTCTTGGTTGTTTGACCTGTAGACTTGGCAAAAGAATATTTGTAGGACTGTTTTTGAGGTCCAGATGAGAGCATGTATGCAATTATCACTGAGTAAGCACTCCATAGATGCTGGCCATTATTGTTATAAAATATTAATATCAGAATTAAGGGTATTCTCTTGACTCCATCTAAGTTCAACCCCGTGTGGCCCGTGGTATAGAAAGTTCTGATTCCTTCTTCAGTTGCATTTCACCAGCCATCCAGATTCTAGCAAAACAGCCTAACTGTGCATTTGCAGTGAGTTTCAAAATCTAATTAAACTCTGAATAAGATACACTGTTATGCCACAGGTTTTAACAGCATTATTTAAGTTGAGACCCAAAGCGGCACTCTAAATAGGCTGTGCTTAATGTTTAATGCAATCTTACAAGGAGATAACATAATATTTTTTTAATTTTTTTACCAACTCCTGCCTCTCCCAAGGCAATGCCCGTTTATTAAGATTAATGAAATCTGCCTGTTTTTCTGTTTACTTGGTATCCATCATCATAGGCTTGGGGGAGGTGTCACACAGTTATTTCTGGGGTGAGCATCTTTTACTTCATTTCAGTCATAACTGCTATGGCAAGGTGCAATGATGGGGGATTCTCACCCAGGTACCAGCTCTTGGTTCTTAAAGGTCGATTCCTGCCCCCACTGAGTCTCGGAATCCAATGTGCCTGCCCTCTGCGAGATGGAGGAGCAGAAAAGCAACTCTGGCCTTGGCTCCCTACCTCTGGGGATCCACTTAACGTCCACCAAAAGAAGGGTATTGTCATTGGTTTTAAATTCCTTCCTAGCTCTTTCTACTGGGATCTTGTGATTCTGCTTCTGAGCTCTCAAGGACTGCTCTTGGGCATGAAAGGGGTGAAGTATTCTGAAAATCTGGGCTTCGAGCCCAAACAACCCCCTTGAGCAAAGCATTCTGGGTCAAGATTTCTCTGTGCTGATTCAAGAGTGTGTGGAGCACTTGGGTGGCGAGGGGGTGGCACAGCACCGGGCGGAAGTGGCATCTAGCCAGTTGGCGATAGTTTCGCTTTCACTGGGATAATTCCCTCTGGTGCTGAGCTCCTGGCACCCGCACCCAGGTGCCCAGGGGGGCTGCACAGAGGCTGCGCTGTCCTCCTGCCCGGCCCCATGGACAGCACTTGCTCTATGAGGTCCAGGTAATGTCCTCACCCAAACTGCAAGGCCTGCTGGGAAATGTTACAATAATCTATTTATCATTGGTCATTTATGGGCTATGCCAGACATTAGGTTAAAAGCTTTGCTTACATTATCTCATTTAATCTCCTTAATGGTCCTGAGGGGTGAGTGTCCTTATGACTATTTTACATTGGGGGGAATTGAGGCACACAGAATAGATGGACTCTCCCCAGGTCCCACAGCTGATGCAAACAATGCCAGGATCTGACAGCTCGCAGCCACCCTCCGTGTGCTAGGACCAGAGTCATCCCTGGTCTGTTACCAGGTGTTCTCAGCAGCTATAGGTTACCTAGGTCTTGTGTTCGGTGGTAACAAGAAACCTCATGGTTTCACCCTGTGGTGGTTTCAAAACTACAAAGGCCTAGGCCTCCTCTCCACACAAGTCAGTCGAGTGGGCGTACCAAGGGGATCCCGTTGGACCCATTGAGTTTTGTTTTTTGTTTTTTGGCCAGTCCTGGGGCTTGAATTCAGGGCCTGGTCACTGTCCTTGAGCTTCTTTTGCTCAAGGCTAGCACTCTACCACTTGAGCCACAGCACTACTTCAAGCTTATTGTTTATATGGTACTGAGGAATCGAATCCAGGGCTTCGTGCATGCTAGGCAAGCACTCTACCACTAAGCTACATTCTCAGTCCAGCCATGGAGTTTCTAAGGAGAGTCCTCAATCATCCCCAGAGATCCTGGGAATGATTAGAGCCATGGCAAAAACCAGATGCTCTCTCTCAGTCTAGCACCTCCTGGAGAACTCTGGAGAATCCTGGCTACAAGGTGTTTGAGTAACTCTCCCTCCACATAGCCTAGGAGAGCCCATCTAGTCCCCCATTCAACCTTTTGGGGCACATCCAGCCCCGGCACGCGAGCATTCAGCTGAGTCTCTGACCTGTGCTGGAGGAAGACAGTGAGTTTCTCATTTTGTGGTCCGGATGTGCCTGGGAGGGGGAGGAGGGGGGATGGAGAAAAGTGCAAAGCGTGGTGAGGCTGTGAACCAGCAAATAAAGGAAGTTTCTTATGAGAATTAGCTATCATATACTGCTCCCTTTGCCTCCTCTCCTTGGAAATTTTTGAACATTCCCCCTCCATCTTGTGCTAAAGAAGAAACTCAAAAGTGTATCAGCAGGGGAGAGAGATGCAGGGAAGGGAACAGGAGAAGGCAGGACAGGCTAGCTGGAGGGTAACAGAAGAGGCAAGAGGAAGCCCCAGGACGGAGGAGGGCAAATGTGCTTAGAGTAGGGTAGAGGAAGATGACAAAGTAGGGAAGGTGGAGACTAAAAACAGCTAGTAGCTAATTCATTCAAGCTGGGTACTTTGGCCATTCAGCTTAACTATGTAGCTGGGATGCTTTCAGCCCTTTATCACCACCAAGGTACTTGGACTTCCTGGCCCTGATCACAGCTCTTTCTCCCTCACATATGGTCTTAATGGCCAGGGATCATAGGAAGCATTTATTTAGCAGATAGTTTAAAGCTGACCCAGGGCAATGTGCCTTTGGGAGGGCTCTGCTTAAGCATGGCTGCAAGTTTAAGGCATTTCAATAACAGAAGAGGAGATAGAACCACCACCAGGACAAAATACACAGGGCCCAAGTTTGGGGATAGAAGCCATTAGGATGTTTGGGAAAAGCTTTAGAAAACACTGAACTGGCTCTGGTCTAGACTATACCATTGGAGCTGGGTACTGGTGAAGATTCCCAGGATGGACTGCCCCACATGGTCTGAGAATGGCAAGCGTCAGGCCTGGCACAGGGGGAGGAGACAGGCCTCCAAATAGTGGAAGAGACGGCCACACCCCTGTTCATACCAAAACACAGCCTCCTTGGTGAGGTATAAAATATTCTTCCCTTCATCCCTGTTGCCTAAGGTAATTGCAAATCATTTGTTAAGATGTCATTTTGTCTTGGTTTGTTAAGAGCAATTAACTAAGCATGTAAACAAAGTTGAATCTCCACCTTGACTAGCCATTCTTAAGCATTAGCCAAGGGTAAACATCTGGCCACCATAGATGAACTCAAACATGAAATAACAGAGAACTACAGGGGCAGGCCATGAGAGGGTGTGTGTGCGTACACATGCGCACTGTGAAGAAGACAGTTTCCTGAGTTTGACTTCCAATCCCAGTTGGAGAGATACGTGTTTTCTCGGGAGTTGCATGTTGATTGTTAGAAAACACTGCCTCCTGTCTCCTGTCATACTGCCATAAATTGAAACTTTCAATTCTTTGGGAAATGCAATGGCTTCTGCAAAAAGCTAACTTAACTGTCACTTGTGCATCTTTTCCAAGGAGACTGTTGGAGAACCATTCTACTTGTTGGTGACGACCCTGAACCAGAAAATAAACAAGGGTCCAGTGGACGTCATCACATGCAAAGCGCTGTACACTCTCAACGAAGACTGGCTGCTGTGGCAGGTTCCCGAATTCAGTACCGTGGTATGTTTGCCATTGAGGGCTGGGTTCAGACTCTATCATGAGGCTGGCTGGGGAAAAGAGCATGAGGGAAAGGGGTGGGTCACTTAAAATGAACTGACATCTTTCTATTGTGGGATTCCTCATACATTTAATTAAAAGCGGTAGTTGATAAAATATTAACACGTGTGCACATAATAGATTTTAATTACTTAGATTGGGGGGAGAAAGCCTTGTGATGATGCCTGGGGTACTCATCAATTTCCAAAGATTTTAATATCAGGATTGCTGATAGCTTTTCAGCAGCAGCAAAGGAAACACAAAGTGCTCCCTATTCAGCACTTATAATTGCAATCAGAATTTCTCAAATGGCTCTGCTCTGGGAAGACAATGTGTGAAGATATATTTCAACCAAATTGAGGCCGTCTTATTTTAGAACGATAACACAAGACAAATTCCACTGCGTTTCCCCATGCAACATGACGCTCTTACTTTATTTTCATGGATTAGTTACAAATGTTTGGTGTCATGCACTTAATGTACTGTGATCTCATAGATATTTTTAGAGAAGCCCTGTAAATCACTACAGGAAGATGAGCTGGTTGCTGACAGATTTCACCCACTGGATACCTTCCTTTTAACCCCTTCCCACTCCACCTACTCATGACCCACCCTAAATAAAGAGATCAACTTGGGGCACGTTCAGGTATTTCATAGAGGGAACCCTGCATAAAAAGTATCTCCAGAATTACTTAGGAATGTTCTAAGCTTCACTGTTAGTATGGACTTGTCGACCAGGTTGCTGTGTTTGGATTTGATCTTCAGTGTTCTGGAGACTCTGGGCTTCTTCACCATCTCGTTAGTGGAGAGGGAGGAAAAGATTCCACTGGGGTTTAGATATTGCTCACTAAGTTGCCAAGACTCTCGTGGCTTCGCTCAGGATGGCGAGTGCTGGTTGGTGTCATCCTGCAAGAATTCACTCCTAATTGGAGAAGGCACCACATAGCTATGGACCATGACTGGTTATGCCCTCTGGTGGGGAAATGGTCCAGAGACCAGCTGTTTCCAGTTGTCATGCCAGATCTTGCACATTCTTCCATCAGACAAGGCCCTGTGCTCAGGAGACATCTGAGAGGCCAGAAGTTAAACTTTGCTCAGAGTTCTGATCCTGCACCTGAGAGGTAATACAGTAATTCTCAAACTTGAGTATCATGCACCGCAGTCTCCTGGAGAGCTTGTTAGACACCAACTGCCAGGTAGCACCTGAGTGTCTGCTTTGGGGAATCTGGAGTGTGGTGTGGGAATTTGCATTTCCAGCCTGCTCTTTGGGCCACTGCTCATGAAGTATTGGTTAAGAGCTCCAGTTCTGGAGCTGGGCAGGTTCATATAATACCTCTGCTTCTAGCCGGCTGTGTGACACCGAACAAAGTCTCTAGGCTTCTCTAGACCTCAGTCTCCCTGGGGGTAAATGGACATGATCTGGTACTTGCCCATGTTATGGGGTATGTTAAAGATTAAGAAAACCTGTATTGTATGAAGCATAGGAAATATTACCTAGCCCGTAAGCTTTACTCAGCCTGATGGAACAGTGTTGTGGGCAGATGCAGATCTAGATGGACCTGTGTAGGGCCCTCCCTAATTAACTGAGCCTGTCAGGGACAGAGCCCAGTCTTGGAGACATGCTTTCATCTCTCTCCGGGTAATTCTAGTGTGCATCCAACATGTAGACCACCACTGGCCACCCTGAAGAACAAAAGCTCAGACGTGGACTCCTCTTTCTCAGGACTCTCTTGGGTTGTCTGCAGACAGAGGCTTTTGGTCCAAACCTAGAACATGTTCATGCTTTTACTTTAGAGTTCCTTAGCAGCTCCAAAGGTTCTTGGTATCATTTGGATATGGTTTGTTTTCACCAAATTTGTGGGGAAGTTTAATTACCAATAAAATGCTATTTGAAGCTGGTGGGGATTCTGGGCACTAGTGACTCACACCTGTAATCCTAGCTACTCAGGAGGCTGAGATCTGAGGGTCATGGTTCAAAGCCAGCCAGGGTAGAAGAGTCCTGGTGAAACTCTTTATCTTGGGGCTGGGAAGGTGGCTCAGTGGTAGAGTGCTTGCCTTGCATGCATGAGGCCCTGGGTTCGATTCCTCAATACCCCATAAGCAAAAAGAAAAAAGCTGGAAGTGGCGCTGTGGCTCAAGTAGTAGAGTGCTAGCCTTGAGCTGAAGAGCTGAGGGATAGCGCCCAGGCCCATGACCGGACCTCCTCCCCTCCAAAAAAAGAAACTCTTTATCTTCAATTAACCACTCAAAAACTGGAAGTGGGGCTCAAAGTAGTAGAGCTCTAGCCTTGAAAGCTTAGGGTGGGGCCTTTAAGACTTAGCTATAGAGATAGGGGAAATAGGTAGGGTGACATTTGCCCGCAGTCTCAGTGAGCTAGGATTGTGGTGTAAGCACAAAAAGCTGGGGGTATGATTCAAGGGGTAGAACCCCTGCCTTCCAAATGTGAGGTCCTGAGTTCAAACTTCAGAGAAAAAAAGAATTAGGTCATAGGAGCTGTGAGCCCCTGTCGCTACAATCTGCGGGCTTCTCGGCTTGTTCCTGAGCCCCTTCTCCCCTTGTGCTCTCTCTCCATTCGTCTCACTGCTGTGCACCCTGCACGGTACGGCTTGTGGCCCTTGCCCAAGGGCAAAAGATGCCAGCTAGCATCATTCTCTTAGATTCCCAGAAGTCTGAACTCAATCACCCTCTTTCTGTTAGTGATCCTCAGCCCCAGGTGAAGCTGGTATTTTGTTATAACAATGTAAAATGGGTTCAGCCAGTTGCCAAAGAGAAATGCTTGCAATGAATGTAGGTTGGGGCCCAGGAAGGGTTGGGGGGGAGCTAGGGGGGTGGGAAACAGGGACCCAGTGCTGTAGCATTTTCACAGAAACATTGCACCTAGACAGAAGAGAGAGAAAAGGAAGGGTGGGGGAAGAAGTCAGCTGCCTGAAGCAAATTTGGGGTGGGGGGGGAATTGAGTCCTTTAAATGCTTCACTTCTGAACGCTTTCTCTCCCTTTCATTTCAAAACATTATTTCTTTCACAGTCAATTAAGACCATGTGTTTCTGATTTGTCAGCACTCTACTCATCATCAAAATGTTACTTGATCTTAGAGAAATTCATGTTGACTCTTGAAAAAAAAATTACCCCCTTTATAACCCCAAGGGAGAAAAGCAAATGGAAAATTAAATCTATGTGTTTCTTTGCAAATTTGGATTTGCCAGTGGAGAGAGCTGAGGCTGGAAAGGGGTGGGCCTCTTGTATCTGAGGGCCTAGCCTTGAAGAATGAGTTTTAATGCCTTTTATTGGCCCTTGTCCCAAGTCGCTTTCATGGTGTCTGATTATACTAGAAGCTCAAGAGGAGGCACATGATCCTATCTAAGCTTGTGTGACAAAACGTTAGCAGAAGGTCAATATAAAAAATTTAAGGTTTTTCATTTCCTTTCAGGCAAGTTCTCCCAGCCTGAACCATCATATTTCTAATTTTCTCCCTTTCTCCTCCCCCTCCCTCTTCCTACCTCCCTTTCCTCAACCTCCCAGGATATACACCCTGTGGGTTTTTAAGTCTTGCTTTGCTAAATTTGCCTGAGGTGGTTTATGTAATTGGAAACCAAGGTGTGGTGAGCAAACATGATTGTGTGTGTGTGTGTGTGTGTGTGTGTGTGTGTGTGTGTGTGTGTGTTCTTTCAAGGAAAGTTCAAATGTACAACAGCAGCTTGAGCAACTTGAAATGACAGCCTAGGGCCATAGCCAGGACACATTTGAGAAAAGACCTCCACGCACGGCACCCCTCCAAACCCGGCACCTTCTTTAACAACCTTAAAAGTTAGGTTTCACACCTCTAAGTTTAGGATGCCGTCTCCCTGAGGTGTGAGGTATTTTCTAGAACATAAGGACATCCTGCCAATTTCTGATGCACAAATCATTGTACTAACAAATGGACTCTGTGCAGGCATGCTTTCATTTTTCCTTGTACTTTGGGAGGAAAACACCTGACTTCCCTCCATCTAAGGGAAGCGCCACAAAGCCACTCTCTAAGCAACCAACCAGACACCCCAGACTGGCGTTCAGCAAGGCAGACCCCTCTAATAAATACCAGGAAAGGCTATGCCCACACAGCACCCTAGATTCCCTTCAATTTTCAGGTATTCCCATTTGACAGAAGAGGAAAGAGACCCAGCACTCTGCTGTGTTTCCCCCTGCAAAACCATAGGCATGCTAACATCTGTTTGACAAGGCATCTCAGGCCCTCCCTGGCTTTCCCTCCTGTTAAAGGCTTGATTTTTGAGCAGAGTGCCTCAAGGCTTAAGGACTTCAGTTCCAGGAATATGGACCACATGGGAGAAGGGACATTTGCTGCCTCACTTTCCAGAGGAGATGAGAAAAGCCAATAACTCGTAGCAGGCGTGCTGAATTAGCAAGAGAAGGTTGACTTGTAATCAAAGTTAAGCGAGAAATGGTTTTTTGAACTCTTAAACCCAGGAAATGAGCTTGCCAATCTGCTGTATCTGAGAGATAGCATCTCGGCACCCTGGGAAACAGTGTTCCGACAACCAGAATATTGCACTCATTCTCATATCTATAAGCAAGTCTTCAAGATTATTAGAAATTCTTGAAAATGCACATGGCCACGCCTGCAGAAATTGTAATGCCTCCATGATGATTTATTACAGGTTTATGTCAGCCTACACTAGTGTCTTTTCCTCCCCAGAGGTTTTTATTTGGGGACAATCATGTTTAATAAAGTATTTCATATACAACAGAACACTGGCTAACCCTAACACAAGTTTCTCATCTACGTGTTTCCGACCATACCTCTCTCCAGCTCCTCTGATTCCATTTAGTTTGTCCTTGTGGAAGATCCATTATCCTCATAATTAAACAACCCACTGTCCTGATTAAGGCATTCTCTTTTACTTCAATTACATCCCATTGTTCATTAAATCCTGATGTTTGCACTTCAACAATCTTGTTTTTAATACTC